ACATGTAACGCTAGTACTCCTACATGTAACGCTAGTACTCCTACATGGCACAGACATGAGAGAAAGTCACTGGGAAGTCTGCAGGTCACTTATCCTGCAGCATACAGAATGGCAGAAATAGTAAGACCTGCCTCAGCAAGGAATGAGAGAAATGACTCCTGAAACTGTCCTGACTTCCACACAATGCACCTGCTCTCCTCCCACCACATCCCCTAGACCGATAGACACGCACCCACACACACACTACAAAATTACTAAAATAAAAACTGTAAAAGCTTCCAGGAGCTTAAGAGCTTAAATGTCCATGAAAATTCAAAAGGTAACAGTAGTCTCCTCTTCAACTAAGGGAAGGAAAGTGATGAGGGAGCAGCACACGGACATCCCAAACCTGTTCAACCCTGTCTACTTAAGAGATAAAGAGAGTGTCCTAGCAGGCCAATCTCACTCTACTTTATGTGTAGATATGCATTTGGACAGACTATATACTTAGTAAGGCATTTAGGAAATGAAGCCTGTGCATTGGAAAAAGGTTCTAATCCTCTCCCTGCTCCACAAGTTAAAGAAGTATTGTCACAATGTCTGAATTCATGACTGTATCTTCTAAATTCTTTGATTTTTGTCCTTTTTCTACCTACTTCACTTCCATAGCAGTGTTTTATAAACCAGGGACTTAAGATTCTCTCCATCTTTTCCTTCAAACAAATCTTAAAATTAGTCTTTACACTTTTCATGTCTTAATGAATTATACATTTTAAAAGACGTCAGACACTAAGTTGAGAGAAAAAGCAGGATGGTGCAAATGCCTGAATTCACTGTATGACTCCTCTATTGCTTAGAATGTAATGTTGATAACTGGCTTAAAAACTAAGTTAAACAATACACTGAATGTTTTGTTATAAATAATAACTCAGTTCTTATTCCTTCGAGTGGCCAGGACCCTTGGTTTCATTTTTTTGTTTTCGTTTTTTGTTTTTCTTAAAAAAGATAGTCTCTTACTGGGACCCGGAGTTCAACAATTAAAACAGGCTGGGTGGCCAGGGAACTCTGCAACCTCTGCCTTATCCTCTTTGGTGATGCAACATCTCATGCACAGTACTAAGCCCGGGTATTTACGTGTGTTCCTGGAATCTAACTCAGTTCTTCAAATTTGCATGGTGAGCTCTGTAGAGACTGCACTGTCTTCCAGCCTATTTTACTTTGAGACAGAGTCTCACTATGCAGCCAAGCTAGAACCAAACTTGTAGTCCCTGATCTCTGCCTCTTGAGTGCAAGGATCATAGGCATCAGACACCACATATAACTAAAATTATTTTTTAAAATCGTTATAAAATCATACCTTAAGAGTTTCTGACACTAGGACCTAACTAAGGCCCAAACACAAGTTAAGATATCCATAAAAAAAGTGACCACACTTCTCAACACAAAGGGAAACAGTCAATGCAGATGCTGTCTTCTTGAGACAACAACCAGGTTCACATTCTCACTTCAACAGCCCTTTTGTTGGGGACAAGCAAAAAAGGTTCCCCACCACCAAAGACTTTCCTTGGTCTTTGGCTCCCAGCATTCTACTCCCCATCCTCTGTTGGCAGAACCTGGAAAAGCAAGCAGCACAGGAAAGACAGTACTAACCTATCTTGTCAGCACAGTACATGGCTATAGGTCTTCATATGTTTTTGTAGAGAATATCAGTAGCGTGAAATCGCACGTCCACTGTTTCGGGTTTTGGTTGTTTTTTTTTTATTATTATTATTAATCACTGGTTTAAGGTTTAGCAGTTAGGCATTTTTACAAAGACACCACATTTGGGGAAAGGAAGAAAAACTGTAGTATAAAATACAGTATATAGTAAAACTACCTAGAGAAACTAATTTAGAACTGTATTCTTTACTTAACAGTTCTCTAATAAAAGCACTGGATTTTAAGACCTAAAACTGATACTCAAAGGGACAGGGAAACAAGGTAAGAAAGCATGGCAATAAAGTTTGTGAGACTTGAGTTTTGATTAACCTGCTACCCGCTGTTAAACCGCTCCATGACTTAAATGTCCCAGAATAACAATGGAGAAGAATTTAGGTACTATCAAGATGAAGACCTACCTGCTTTTTAAACCTAGGATTTGGTTTATTTTCCAAATTCTGAGCTAAGTGAGTACTATGAGAGCTGGAGAGATAATAAGTGAAATTTTAACAAAGGGATAGGGAACAAACTATAAAAGATCACATACAGCACACACACAACATACACCACATATACACACAACATACACCACATATACACACAGCATACACCACATACACACATAACATACATATACACACAGCATACACCACAAACACACATAACATACACCACATACACACAGCATACACCACATACACACATAACATACACCACATACACACAGCATACACCACATACACACATAACATACACCACATACACACAGCATACACCACATACACACATAACATACACCACATACACACACAACATACACCACATATACACAACATACACCACACACACAACATACACCACATATATACACAACATACACCATATATATACACAACATACACCACATATACACACAACATACAGCACATATATACACAACATGCACCACATCTATATACAACATACACCACATATATGTAATGCTCATAAAACCCAGCTAACAAAGATACATTATGTGGTTTTCTTCTCTTCATATTAATAAGGAAACAGAACATTCTAAAAAAAGAATTAGGCATTCCATATTGGTATTTTTGTAACATTTGTGTGCACACAGACATGCCATGGCAATTCATGTGGAGGTCTGAATAGGATCTGTCCCTCCACCATGTATGTCATAACCATCAAACCCAGGTCATCAGTTTGGTAGCAAGCACCTATTCCCACTGAGTCATCTCCCCCCCAAGCCCTATTCTGACAATTGTAACTCCAATTATCAAGAAAATGTATTTTTATTGAATGCAGTCTTTATTTCTACACCCTACTCCCCAATCCTGAGGACTGAACCACCAGTCTTTTACATGCTAAAACAACTACCCTAACAGAGAACCACATGCCTCCTCCCCACACACAGATACCCAGTGTTGCTTTCTTTATAGTTTGAGACAGTTTGCCCAGGCTGTTCTTGAGCTCTCTAGGTAGCCCAGGTAAGTCCTGACCCAGGCTCCCGAGAGTCTGAGGCTACAAGCATGCGCCACCACGTGTAGCTCATTTTACACTTAGTAGCTGCACCAAATTAGGAAGAGCTGCTCAGGAAGACAGAAGGAACAGTAAGCTACAAAAGTTCCACAGGAAGAAAAAGGTCCAATAGTGAGTGTGTTCACCTCTACACAACACCCCATTCCCCTAAAATTGTTAAGAGGACAAAGAAGTGTCCTATGGAGACATTAATTACATTACTAACTAAAAGCTTATCTCTACATACTAACTAGAATCATGCTGATTCTGCACAAGGTTAAAACGAAATGTTTTCTTTGGTTTGGTGACACTAGGGAAAGAGGTAGTGGGAAAGAATACGCCTCCAGTGATCATGTAGAAAAGTAGAAAGGAGAAAATCAAAATACAGCCTATGAACTAAAATGCTGACACATAGCAGGCATCAACATTACTACTAAGTGGGTACTATGGATTGAGGACGCACATATTCCTTTCAAGTTCTAGACTAACTGGCCATTTTGCTGGGAAAGTTTACCACCCTGAGCACTCAATAATGCTTTTCTTCTCATGAGGTCCTGTCCCTCCCTGAGGATCTATAACAGTTAAAGGTTCTCGTGTGAAGGACAGACTTCCCTGTAAATAAGCTCTTACCACTCAAGATCCCAAAGCAAACCTAATGAAAATTCATTGGGAGAAGCACACAACCCAAGCACTGACAGAGACACACACAGACATACACACACACCAGTCATGAAAGTGTAAGATTGGTTGGAAACAAGAAGAGGCTCAATGAAAGTATGGGGGGTGGAAGGGATAAAAGAGGATAATGGGAGTTGAATATGATCAAAATACATTAAATCAATGCATGAGAATGTCATAAAACTCATTATATAGAGTAATATATGCTATTAGAAACCATTTATTTTAAACTTTCCCAAATGCTTCTCTCCAACAAGGCCAAGCAGCCTGAGATACAAAACAAACAGCATTGTAAAAAAGAAAGGAGTAAGAGAGGAGGGCACAGTTTGGCTGAGATAGTTTGGGTTTGCCCACCTATTTTTTTCTTCTTAATGTTAAGACTCAGGCAATGTATACGCTATAGCCTATCATAAAACCTTTCAAAGAAACTACTATAATTAATAAAATGTAAACCTAAATTCAATGTGTCAGAAAATATTTTATTTTTACTTAGTTATATATGGTATGCATTCAAAATCGGATGGTTTTTCCTATTCCTTGGAATCCATTTCCTCAGAGGCTCTCCTGCATGCTATGCATTCGAACAGAGAACTAAATACACACACACACACATCAAAATAAAGTCATAGAGATAAGCAGGACAAGAAACAAATCTAGAGAGAAAAACAAGGCTAGTGTTGAGAAAAGGGGATACTTGAACTAAGAGGCAATGTTAACTCATTTCCAAGCATAAAGAATGCTGTGCCAAAAGGAAGCTGACTTGGTATTGAATGTTAAAAACTACGAAAGTAGTTTTCATTTGAATGCAATACAAACCTCAATTTCACGAAGCTTAGCTCGTTTTTCTTCACTCATTTCAGAGTATTTAGAGAACTTAGACTCAGTCATTTCTTCTCTGACAGGGTTAGAATACAAATGATGCTCTTCTGATTTGGAACTCTGAGTGTCTTCTTCATCTTCACTTTCTTCTTCTTGACTTTGGAAACAGAATACACTGCATGTCACAGCAGGGAAACAAAATCCTGTATTTTATAGTTTGGGTATTTGTTTCTCATTGTCCTGGAACTTAAATGACACTGCAGAAGAACTAAAACATTTTCTGCAAGTATTTGGTCAAATACTATCTTAGACAGTTCTGAAAAACGTATCCTTCTGCAGGGAAAGTTGAGTTTCAATATAGCATAATCACGCTTTTAATAAATTCTGTGGTAATGTTATCAGTGTGCTTTTCATGCGGCAACAGTCATGTAAGGAAATAAAATGAAGAACAAATGAGTGTTGCACACGCCTCAGCTCAGTAAACTCATGAAGGCTGTGCATAAAAAGCCCAATGATGAGCTCTCCTTCTGCAGAGCATACTCTAGAAAACACGTGATTTTGTCACACTCACCATAAAAACACATAAGGACCCCGCCTGATTAGCACATTATACTAAAGCACCATATAAAGTTTGAGCATTAAAAAACTTCACCTAATGTTATAGCTGATCCTGAAAGCTAGCTCTTTATTCAGTTCTCGTTTAATTTATGTTTATAAAGTCTGTACTTTCTTTTATTTTACATTCATTTATTTACATGTATGAATATTTTGCCTGAATGTGTGTATGTGTACCATGTGCATGCCTGCTGCCCATAGCCATCAGGAGAGGGTTTTAGAACCCCTGGGACTGAGTAAAGGATGGTTGTGAACCTCAATGCAGATACTAGGAATCAAATCCAGGTCCTCTTCAAAAGTAACAAGTACTATTAACCTCTGAGCTAGCTACCTGCTAAACTTTTATAAAAAATGAAATTTCAAAATTCTAAATCTATACCAAATTCATTACAAATGCTACTATTTTTAGCATTTCTTTCCATCTGCTATAAGTACTAATTTTAAACTCTACTTCTACTAAAAATGCAATAGTTTATTATTATATGAAGCAGCCCTCAGCAAAAAGGCATTTCTGATCTAGCCACTAGAGAGTAGTAGTGAGCTGTAAGAAATGCTGAAGGATCAGGAAGCTTTGTGCAAATCAGTGTTCCTCATCTGCATAAGCCTATGCTTATATTAACATGGGAGTTCTAAGAAAAATTAAAAACATGAATCCTACTTCTACTGACCCATGTTTCTAGCAATGATTACTTCAACGTCAGTATTAAAATACACTCATACAGTAAGACAGAAATCAATCTTATGCCCCCAAACTCCTAATGCTTTCAGAAAATGAACCTAACAATGTATCTGGCATTCTGACGAACTTTCTACCCTTCACTGTAAATTGAAGAATTATTTGATCAGTACAGTATATAGTTATACTAATATTTGAGATGTTGCTAATGACAGAGTCATGGATATAAAAGTCAACAAAAACAGTTTCAAAGCAAACTAACCTGAATCATTCACTCTAGTATTCTTCAGTTCCTGAGACCTACCGCCACTGCTCTGCCACACACACCTCTACTTTCTAATCATTACCAACTTACTCAGTCACACCAACAGAACTGCCGGTTTACCCATGCCATCAAACTGTCTACAAACTACTGACTGAGCACACTTCCTTGCAAGCCATGAGTCCCTTTACCAAGTACATACAAATGCACATTCTGTGCTGGGAGAACAAAAGGGCTTCGCTGATTTTATTCTTCCCTCTGAGAAAAAAGATTATAGTTTTTACAGAACAAAAAGTTCTTCCCAGATCTTGATAGCAATTGTTCCTATTGCAAAACTTGATTATTCAAAGCAATGACTTTAAAAAGTATAAAGCTTCATAAAACTTATCAATACAAAGTTTACATTCTTACTGCCACAATGTTAAAGGCAAAAATACTTCTGATGATTGCAAAAGAGAAAATAATCAAAAATCATCATTTCTTTATACTCATAAAGCCCGCTATTCTTACCTCTTCTGACAGGTTTTCATTTAAAATAACAAGATAGTTTTTAGCAACGCACTATCCAAAGAAAAGGAGTATAATCTTCCCAGTTAACATTTTAAAAATCACTTTTTTTATGGATCCAAAGCAATATTTGATGACAAAAATTTGAAATACAACAGATGAAATAATAGCTACAAGGCAGAAATGTATAGCCTCAGTTTGAAAACCCATCCATGTGAAACCTAGTGCAAAGACCAGAGACCAAAGCTCTTTATTCACTGGGAAAAAAAATGAAGACTAAAGTTGATTCTCTCACAAGGATTTGAAGGTGAAGTTATCCTCTTCAATATTATTTCAACTATAACTGTCAGTAAGAAAAAGGGTGTATATATGCAGGGAACTGTGTGTGTGTGTGTGTGTGTGTGTGTGTGAAACTTAGATTCTTACTTTTGGTTTTCTTCTTCTTCTGATTCTTCATGCTGGTCAAATAGCTCCCACTTAGAAGTTGTCACAGCTGCAGAGGGAAAGGTAAATTAGCATTTTGCTACAGCACAGTAGAAGCCCAGCTTTAGAGCTAAAAGTTTATATTACAGAAGCTTTTATCTTCATCTTTTCTTTTCATGTACTATACATCTTTCCCCATACTACACTATCTATGCAAATTCAGAAACGATTAAAATCACTATCATATGTATTTCTATGGCGAATGGCATGACTTATTTTATCACATCAACAAATACTAACAGACACGGTCCCAGTCAGTGCAAAGAGAAAGGCAAATGCAAACGGGATCTAACAACCATTATGGGAAGTCAAACTCAGTTTCTCTGAAACTGACCTAAGTAGATTTCCAAATGGATGCTGCTTCCCATCTACACTTTTAGAGAAACACCTCGGCCTGAAGGGGTTATCATGATTTCTCTAATTGTACTCTCAAAGCTTCCAAATTTCAGGATCTAAGACAATTACTACCGGAGTAGTAATTCAATGAATTTCATTGAAATTCAATAAAGTCCAGTGAATGCTTATGACAGACCTAAAACATGGTAGCACTGACTCTGAAGGTTGAAAACAAAGGTTTTACACACAAAGAAAATATACATAGGTAAATACAAAGGCACCAATAATTATTGTAAGTACTCAATTTTCTTCCCCCTCAGCAAGTGCTGAGGATTCAACCCAGTGCCTTACACATGCTAGGCAAGTACACACACTACTAGTGAATACACCACCCTCCCAGTGCGTAACTGCATAAAGCTCAATATTTGTGATTTACTCACCTTGTGCTTCTAATTCAGATTCATCTACAGCCTCCCATTTTGATGGGGCAACTTTAAATATGGGTTCATTCTTCTTAGAGTCTTCAGTTGCATCCACTATTGAAGAAAAGATTAGCTATATATTAGGGGATGACTCAAACTAATGGGCTTATCAAAAAGCTAATAAAAGTAAGTCCACATGTAGGAAAACATTGACAGCATCAAGGATTATAATTAACACACTTTTTTGCTTCAGACCGAATTTTTAAGCACTGCAAAGCTTTCTTTTACCCGTAGCAGACACAACCCAAGACCTCTAGTAAATGCCTGAGCCTATGAACACCTCAGAATTATGCTATGTTTTCTTATCTACACATATTTATAAACAAGGAACAGTAAAAAATAGAAACAATCATGGATGTACTCTGATACCTAAAACTTATGAATTTTTTGGAACTGTCCATTTAATATTTGTAGATCAAAGTTAGCAGTGGGTAATTTTAAGCATGAATAGCAAGGCAAAAAATGGGCATAGAGAAATTACTGCATAGAAAATCAGGTAAAACACTTTAAGCATATGGAGCTCAGAGGGAGAAAAATAATACTTAAATCATTTTCTAAACTAAAAATGCCATATTTTATCAACACTTTAATGTAATTTTAGGCAGGAGAAGAAACAACACTGAACATCTGACATCATGACTATAATCAAACACTAAATGTTGCCCATAGCTTAAGACAACTGAGACAAAAGAGGAAAGCTGCTATTATTATAGAGGAGTGGCAGTCCTAAAAAATAAAGATGACTATAAGAAAGCTCTTTCCTTGCCACAGTGAAACATATTGCTAGATATCTGAGTTTCAAAATGTCTGAAAAGGTAACCTGACACAGTCAGAAACTAAAACATTTCTCCAGAACATCATGTGTGAAATTAAAGCATTCTGGCAATTAAACCTCTTAGTCTTAAATGTTTGAAATTGGAACTTACAAGGCACTCCATCCAGATCATCATCAAGACTTTTTATAGGGACTCCATCAAGGTCATCAATGGGAGTAGCATCAATGGGAATCCCATCCACATCTTCCAGAGGCGCACCATCAAGCTCTTCCTCAATAGGAGCACCATCGAGATCATCTGGGACATCCTACAGAAACATGCACTACTGTAATATTCTTTTGAGTTGTTTAAGTCTCTCACTATTAGATTAACAAAATCCAATACCAATCAAGGTGGCTGGAGCCGGACACAATGTAAACACACACTTTATTGTCCAGCCAAGGCAGCCATTATCTATACGTTTATTTATCTAATATGTACTAAGTGCTTGTTATTGGTGCCAGGTAGCATGTGATGCAAGGATGAACAAAATCAGGTTTGGTTCTTCTGTCAAAGAATTTAGTAAATGTTTTTGTTGTTTAGAAAAGAACAGAGCAATAGAGCAAAAGGGTACCTCACCATCTTATTATACTATATAATAATAATAATTAAATTTTACTTAAAGAAGTCAGAAAGTACCCTGAAGTTACACTTAGACTGAGATCTGTTAACACACAAGGTCCAGAAAGAACATGTACAAAGACCAGTGGCAGGAAGAACACTGTACCTGAAGAAACTAAAACAGGAGTTTAAGAAGATGACAGAAAAGTAGCTGTCTCCTCACCAATTGGTGAAGGAGTCAGGGAAATCTACGAAGGACGAGAAAAACATCCTGGAAAAGAACAGAATCAAATACATGTGCAGCTCAAAGTGTAGTCAAAAGCAATTTACTAACCTCACTAAAGGGTATTGCATACTGAGCCCTCAAAAGGCGGCTTCTCAGTAACACTCCCTACTGCAAAACCCCAAAAGGATAGTCGAACGTACAGGTGCACAGGCTACACCATAGCATCAGGAAAAAGATGAAAGTCAAAGACTGCCCAAAGACCCTAAATCCTCGACTAGGAAACTCAGATACTGATATAAACTAAAAGTCAGAAGAAACTTTGCCAAGTTTTCTTGTAAAACTAAGGAATGATACAAACTAGGTCCTAAAGAAGAGTCAGCAGAGAGAAAAATTGTTAAGAAAGTTAACAATATGGATTTAAAAAATTAGAAATGAAAACTTCAATGAATCAAATAAAATTACAGTAGTGAGTCAGCAAGATGGTATGGCAAGTGAGACACTTACATCTAGGCTTCACAATCTGAGTTCAATCCCTGAACAAAGTAAGGTGAGTAAGAGAGGCTGACGAATGAGCTATGGCTACTGCATACCCGCCCACACTATAAAGTCAAAAAGCTTAAAAAAAAAAAAAAAGGTTGGTTTTTGTTTTTTTTAAGTTGGGGGGGGGCAGACTGGGGAGAGGGCTCAATGGTGAAGAACACTTGCTCTTGCAAGAAAATCTGGGTTCAATTTTCAGCACACCCAAGGTGGCTCACAACCATCAGCAATTTCAATTCCAGGGGATCTGATCCTTTTGTCTGATCTCCATGGGCACCACCAGGCATGCATGTGGTACACACGCACACATGCAGACAAAACACCCATATGCATATAAATCTAAAGCAAAACAAAACAATAGGAAGTATCACCAATACTCTACCAAACAGAACAAAGATTATCAGGTATGGAGGACAAAGTGGATGAAATATTGCACTCAAATATCAATAAGGAAAACAAATGAATCAACGATCAAGACCATAAACATCCAAAAACTCTAGGATATGGCCAAGAGCCCAAACCTAGTCATCCCTGGGATATAGAACAAACTGAGATAAGCACTAAAAATACAAGGGATTAATGGAGTCAGTGAAATTTAGGAGCAGCAAATTTCACAAATCCAGAAATTTTGAAACATAAAAGGTACTTGGAACCCCAACATGGTCAAGACAATAAAATACAAAGCAAAGTAGCAATAGGTAAGGGGAACATTGTCAACTAAGCCACAAAGACAGAAGCATCAGAGTAATATCTCTCAGCAACCCCAAAGTAGGAGAGCAGAGAATGATACAAATCAAGCTCTGAAAGTAAATAACTGCCAACCATGATATATCTGTCTTTTAAAACAGCAAATCTGTCTTTAAACACTGAGAAATAAGAACATTTCAAGCATAAACTAAGGCAGTTCATAAGCACCAAACCAGCACTGCAAAAGATGTTTAAATACTATATACAAAAAGAAGACAGTCCCAATCACAAGCAACAGGAATGAAAAAATTTTCAGGAAAGGATGAATAAACAAAGAAAAGATAGGAAAGAATTCATCATATCTAACCTGATAAATCAGCAAACCCTGCTTTTAAGAGGGGAAAAACTCAAGAACAATAAAACAGAAAAAAACAATGAACATAAAAAATTAGGAAACCTTTCTCAATAATAACCTTAAACATGAATGACCTCAACTCACCAACAGAGAGATTCATGCGTTACTACCAGAAATGAAGATGAAAGATTTATAAACCATTAAGGGGGGAAAAAGTAAGAGAATGAAGAACATAATTTGGTACCATCAGGTTGCATGATGTATGTTTACTTTTTAAGCTAACTTTAGAAGTTTTTATACAGAGATAACCCCCAACTCTTGATGGCTTGTCTTACACTCTTTAAAAGTTTACAACACTGAAACACAATACACATTCAGTAGTAACTGTACTTCAAATTTTGATCTTTTCTTAGGGTAGTGATACAGTATGATGTTTTCATGACGTTGGGCAGTGGCACTTAGTTATGGGTACCAGTCAACCATCTGATCATTTGGACAGTGTTTCGTTGCCATCATTTTTAAATACAGGTCTTCAGTGAGTTAAATGAGATACTAAATACTTTCTTTTAAACTGGGTTTCCTGTTATATCATTTTAGCCTAGCTATGGGCTAATTTAAGCTCTATGAGATTTTCAAAGTATGCTAGGCTAAGTGGTCAGGTTCATTCATATAGGTATAAGTATTCAATGTATCTTTAACTTTATGAAATATATTTAGTTTATGAAGAACCCCTTGTAAGTATTATCTGTTTTCTACTAATATATCACAGACCTTTTCATGCTAGAAAAAAAAACCCAGCCACCATCGCATAAGAACACAACAATGAACTGAATATCCCTATCATATCTCACATTGACTCCTGGGTTATTTAATGGTAAACAGAGACACTTTTCACAAAGAAATGTTATATACGTATATATCTCCCTCTCCCCAGAACAATTTTTAAGTACAGAATACCTACCTCTGTTTCCTTTTCTTCAATGATATTTACAAGTCCTAAGAAAATATTTTGAAGTTTGATCAAAAATGGCTCTGGATAGATTGCCCAATCTTCCCATGCTCTGAAGCAAGTCATTACCCGTTGCTAAATAAATAGAAAACAGGCAATCAATGAGAGTTGAGGTAGTATGCCTCAAATTCAGTTCATGAGGATAACCAGTGTGATTTGCTGAATTTTTCTTTAAGTTGCTAGATCATTTTTCCTCAAACTAAAAAAATAATTATATATGTCATTTCCAAACTTTTTAAAGCAACGCTATCTTTCAAGAATAAAGACCTAAAAATACTTGGGGAGGGTACCACTTGTTTTTTAATTAAGGCCAACTCTCATGTTGTTTGTAGTGAATGTAAGCCACATTCTAAAAAAACAATCTCACGGTGCCTTCTGATAACTAGAAACCAAAGCAATCAAGCTTTTCCCTGAATGCATTTTGACCCAAAGATGTCTTGGCTAACACTTTTCTTTATACATTTCTATACTTTTCATACTCCAAAAAATTTTAAATCTTCCACATAACTTCTGAAGACCAAATTTCCAGATCACTATCAAGGACATTCTCAAGCCACCTTGTATCCCACAACTGTACAGCTAAGGTGATCAGTGTCATGCCCCATCTGCAAACTGGGAAACCAATGGTGTCCACTCTATGTCTATCGAGTTCCACACCCAGACACAGCTGTGAGCAACTGTGTCTCAAATGGCACTCTGCTTTCATAATGACATACTTCACACTACGGTACAGAAGGACCTTTTTGCTTTGGTGACAATCTGTGGTAGGTGGCCAATAAATCTAATCAGTCTTCCTATTTTCTGGGGGAGGGAACACAGGCCAAAGCTTCAGGCCACCCTGAGATTCTGGAAGAAGTGGCTGGCTGCTGCCTTCCATACTGTTCCAGATCCTCATCCCAGCTCTAGCATGGTACCTCAGCAGAAACAGGGTCAAGTGGCACCTCCAGGCCCCATGCCACAGTAGGTGAGGCCATACATCACAACCATCTGCTCTAGCGAAGCTATCAATGCCCTGAAGATACTTTCTACACAACCACGAATAATCAAAATGTATGTTCCTAATCCACATGATTTATATATACCATTGTAAAACAAATGGTCTTCTGAATGTTCTGTGAGGACAAAAAAAAATCAGTATTAAAAATATCAAAATAAGACTTGAGGACCTGAGTTCAGCTCCCAGCACCTACATCAGTTGGTTCACAATTCCCTGTAACTCTGACTCCAGGGGGATCCTATACCTCTGACCTGGATACGCACCTGCACACATGTACACATATCCACACAGAGACATTTACACGTAATTAAAACTAACAAATCATTAAAGAAAAAATTTAAACTAAGAATATTTAAATAATTAAAATAAAACTAAAAACTATCTGACAATATAATATTTTAAAGAACTTTGAAGCATAATTCCAAAAAAACCAAGTCTTAAATATTGTATTTGTCTTACATTCTTTTATAGCCCTCTAATGCCCTCCTCCTCTATGACACACCAGGGCAAAAACAATAAAATATACATACCTTAAAATTTTCAGATTGTAAATGGCCTTGAATTGTACGATAAGTAGCATTGAGGTCTGAAAATATCTGACATAGCTTTGTTTCAAAACTGAAATTCAAACAATACATTCTTTAAAATAGAATTTGTTTAAAAACTCACATTCTGTTCAGCCTGCTAGCCAATGAAAACCTCTCCTGGTCTTAGGGATAAAGCAAATTAAGAAATGTAAAATACCAGTGTCCTTTAGCAAGCAATTTTATATTTAGGAAGAATTTAGCCATCTGTCTCTCCTCTTTGGTGTCATATAATAGCTAACTTAAAAGGTAAGTGATGTATAGAAGGGGGAAAAAAGTATTAGCAGAATTAAAAATTGGGCTCCCTTCCTGATACCATTCCCCATCTCTCACCTGCATAAGTACTCACACAGACACATATGCATATATACCTAGCATAGGCTAACCTAGGACTTGATAATAGCCAAGGATAACCCTGAACTTATCCTCCCATCTCAACATTCCAAGTGCTAGACACATACCACCTCATCTGATTTTATACAGTGCTAAGGTCCAAACCCAAGAGTTTGGGGCACACCAGGCAAGCACTCTACAAACTGCACTCCACCCATCCCAAGGTCATGACTTGTGGTTTCAAAGGATCACCTGGACAGAGAAGAGACCAGGGGGGATAGTAGAAAAACCAGTTAGGAGACTACTGCTGTAATTCAGATGAGACATTGGGAACACAGGCCAGCAGCCAGGGAAGTGGTGTCAGTCAGTTTCTGGATAGATTATAAAATATGTTTTTATCAATAAATAGTGTTATGGAGAAGGTATGGAGTCTGAGGGACTTCAAAGAGTTAGAGACTAAATAAAATGCAAATCAGTCACCAGTTTCTTCCTCACTACATAGCTTAGTTAGGGTGACCTTGAGACCTCTGGACTGCCAGGATCACAGTGTGCACTATCGGTTTTAAGGGTGTTGGAGATCAAAACCAGGGCTTCTTCATGTCATGCAAGCACTCAACCCTGAGTTATAATTCTCAGCCCGGGCCACAATTTTGAATTTCCTTTTAGAGTCTATTCCTTTTCCTGAGCTTGACTATTTAATAAATACAGACAGATGGGGAGCTCTGTGGAACTGAAGATTTACCTATGAATTTACAATGCCCATTAGAACTCCCTCCTGCTTTAGAAAACAAGAACAAGGAAAATCAATGAACAGAGCAGACAAGAGAGCTAAGAGCACTAAGGTTCATTCAGACCCCAGAAAGGACATGGCAGATCACAACTATGATCCCAGGGGATATGACACACATGTCATATGTGTGCACACATGTGATGCACATAATACATGCAGGAAAAGTACTCATATGGAAAAAATAAAAATAAATAAATCTTTAAAAAAAATAAATCAATACAATGATTACCAAAAGAAAGTAAAGATGTTAAAAGTTTTGGTTTCTTCTTTTACACAAGCCATTATTTATTATACTATTTATGTTTATTATAAAGTAGCTAAATAGGCAAATTATATATATTTTTTTAAAAAATGCCACCTATTTGTCCTGTCAATATTTAAGAAATAAAAATATACTGCATGGTGGTTCATATTATAATCTCAGCACCTGGAAGGTTAGGGCAAGAGGATTGTCACAAGTTTAAGGTCAGTCTGGGCTACAGAGTAAAATCTAAGCAATCTGGGTGAGAGTGAGACTCCATTTCAATAAAAAAAAAAAAAATCAAACAAGGGTGAGCTACATGGCTCACTAGATAAAAACATTGCTGTCAAGGAGAATAACTTGAGTTCAATCCCTGGACCTATGTGGTGGAAGGAGAGAATCAACTCCAAGTTGTTGTCTAACCTCTGCTTGTAGGTCATGTTTCATGTTCACACATACATAAACACAAATAAATGTCATTAAAAAGAAAAACTGAAAAAAATTTTCAAAAAAATTACTAATTTAGCTTATTTCAATAAACATAAGTCTATTTCTTTAAAAATTCTACTAAATTTCTTTTAAATTGTATTATTTATTATTATTGCTATTATCACCATCATTATTATTATTGGAGTAAGGGTTGAAATCGGCGTCAGGGGAAAACTTTGTGGAGTCATTTCTTTCATTCAGGTAGTTATCAGGTTTCCATGGCAAGCATCTTTAACCCGCTGAGCCATCTCACTGACCCCTAAAATTAATGAAGAATACTAACAGAACAACCCTCCTTTTTGATCTCCTCATCCTCAAATCCATAATCTCAAGAGTATCAGCTCATATCTTATACTTACAATTTCCTGTAATATGAAGCATTGGCAACTTTGGCTGAAGAATTGTACAAAACATCAGAAACCAAATATAACCTGGCAATCTGTAATACAAAATGAGACAAAAGGAAAATATTAGCCAATAGCATACCTAAAAAAAACCCTGCACACTCATTCCTTGAAATAGTGACAGAGGCTAAGTTTAGGTATAATTTAACAGTAAATACTAATTATTACTATATGAGAGCCATCATTACAAACACAACTTTTGCAAAAATACAACTTGATTTATTTACATTTCAACCAGTTTATCAGCCAAAAGAAAAGAATATATAGAAAATAATTCATTAGTTAAGTTCTTCATGTAAAAATAAGCTTATTCCAAGAAAAAAAAAGTCAACTATTACCCCCGTTAACTAATGTTCAGAAAGAGAAGCCATTTCAATACCTTCTTGGGAAGAGGTGTCTTTAAGATGGACAATGACTCAGTAATGCAATCCACTATTTCTTCAGCAGCTTCAGCATTATTAAGACAGAAAACCATGGCATCTCCAATATCATTTTTTCTTGGAGTTAATCCTCGCAAGATTTCTTCTAATTTATCCCGCTGTCTGAATATAAGTTTTTCACATATAATTATTTAAACATAACAATCCAAATGTTCCAATAACTACTGCTCACATACTAGGTGAAGTCTGTGCAAGTTTCTCTACTATATATATATCAGTTACCATGTTTACCTCACAAAAACTAGTTTAAAATAGACTCAGATAAAATGGTTTTAAAGACACCACCACCCATCTACAATTTTTTAAAGAACTTACACATAGAGCAGAATACTTTTTCTAAAATTAACAACATAGTCTAGTGACTTTTTGAAAACTTAAAATATGTAAATTTCAAATTATGGCCATTTAAAGTCTCCAAAAGTACTCTACTCTTACTATCCCCCATTAAAATAGAAACTGTTCAAGTTCTCCATAGCCTTCCTTTGGAAGAAGTACTACTTTAGCACTCCTACAAGGACCAAGTAGGACTAGCCTTTTCTGTAAGGGAAACAATATTTTAGATCCTGCAGTCCACATGATCTCTGAAACACACTTCCTCTACTGCTATTATTCCAAGGCAGCCTTACATACATGTAAAGAAATAAGCACCACTGTGTTTCAATAAAACTTTATTTGGAAGGTAAGATGGCAAAGTAGGTAAAGGTTCTTGCCTCCAAGCCTGATAACCTGTTCCATCCCTAGGACCCACAGGTGAAAGGAAAGAAGAGTCGTGCAAGTTGTCCCCTACCTAACCTACACATGCAAGACACAAGTGTACACACACACACACACACACACACACACACAGACACACACACACGAATAAGTAAATGTAATAAAAACTTTAACCTTCGTTTACAAAACAAGAAGATAGCTATATTTAGACTAAGGACTAGATCTGTAGCTAATGTAATGACCATAAACCTAAAGGAACAAATACACTCAACAACTCTAAGACCCCACTGTGAGCAAATACCCTCACAAAAATACACTGATGAAACGGGTATTAAGTCTTCCACACTGTGCATCAAGTATGTAACATTACACACTAAAATCTTTTAGCCAACATTTTCCATGAGGTATGAAGAACTTCTAAACACTTAACATTTCTGTCTTTTCAAATGTAGTTAACTCATTATAACTGCTCAGAATGAGCACTAACCTTTTTTGTAAGATTTAATTTTTATCTATGTGTTTGAGTGTTTTACCTCCATGTATGTATACACATACACGACATGCATATCTGGTCTGTGCAGAGGTCAGAAGAAGACCTCTAAACCCTAGAACTGGAGATATAGATGGTTGTTGGCCACCATGTAGATGCTGGAATCTGAACCCAGGCCCTCAGCAAGAGCAACAAGTGCCATTATTAGGTGAGCCACCTCTCCCAGTGGACACTAATAATAATGTTTTCCTACCTGCCATCTCAGAACTACTACACACTATTATAGTATTTCCATAGTTCTATATAAAACTATAGAAACAGTAATGCCTGACCCCACTACACAGTCATTTTTCTTCTTTTATCTTGCAAAAATTCTCTTGTAATTAATTTAGTGTCTAGGTAATTTCTACAAGAACATTAAGTATTGCAATGCTAGAGAAAGAGCTCAACTATGTTTAAGAGATGATCACTAGTTTCATAAGGAAGAGGTCAAGGTCAACAGGATATACTCTTATTATTTACCACTGTCTTTCTCCAAGATGTCTAAAATCATAAAACATGTTACTATCTAACACTGGTAAGTGAAAACACCGTTTTATCATATGGCTGAAAGAGCTACAGTAAGACAACTAAAGACAGCGACCAATAGAGCAACTTTCCTGAACACATAACAGAAAAGCTCTTACTCTTCCTTGAGTGCTCCCTTTTTACTAGGTTCCTCCACAAAGGCTTCTGCTTCTTGCTCTTCTGACATCCCATGAAGGTAAGGATTTAATGGTGGTGGCCTCCAAAAAGATCCGTTTTTGAACATACGAAAATCTTCTGTCCGCCATTTAGTTGGAGAATCTCCCTAATAATTAGAAAGTTATTAGAAAGCTCTAAAACTCAGAGTTAAAGTCAACAAAGTAACTGACCTACTTACCTGCAGAATAGAATAAAGCTTCCACCTGTAGTAAACATGTGCTGGTGTCTGGTTTTCAAATAAGAACCTAAACAGGACAAACAAAACAATAAACACTATATTCTTTAGGAGAGTGTTATCTACTTTAGTGTCTACATGAAACCAGATACTTGTAAGCCTGTGTGTGTGTGTGTGTGTGTGTGTGTGAGAGAGAGAGAGAGAGAGAGAGAGAGAGAGAGAGAGAGAGAACAATTATCAATTAAATAAAACAAATGAGAAATATTATTTGCCCTCTTACTTCTAAAGACCAAAAACAGAGTCCCTGGAGCATGGAGGTAGGGAAGTGGTCCTTTTATCTTCCATAATATTCACCTTCCCCGTCCCAGACTGCCTTAGAAATTAGTACGAACACTCAGAATGACTGTTTTTATAATTTCTAAAAAAATTTTTGTTTGGTTGTTTCAGATAAGATCTCTCTATGAAGCCATGGCTGTCCTGGAACTCACTATATATACTAACAAGCTACCCTCCAACTCACAGATATCTGGCTCCTGTTGCCTCCAAAGAGCTAGGATTAAGGGTGTGGACCACCACATCATAACTGGCATTATAAAACACAGGTCAGAGAATATTCTCAAATACTAGAGAGGTTTTCTCAGCAAGTAACTTGAAAAGCTTTTGCCCTATTTATTAGTATAAAATCAATGTCTTAGGTAAAGTAATTCAGGTGACAAACAACTTCCTTTCAAACTACTTTGCCCAATTCTAGCTTGCTTATGACTCTTTGACTTGAAAACATAATGAAAGCTATTTTCCTCCAAGACAATGCTAAGAGCTAAATCTTTATGGTTTTAGAATTTTATTCCTGGCGGAAATACACACACACACACACTGCTTGTTTGTGTGTGTGTATATATATAAATATAAATATACACACACATACACACATGTGCTCACGCACGTCACAGAACAAATAGCAATCAATGAGCAATTTGGGGGGATCTGCTCCCTCTTCCTATCACATGAGTTTTGAATTTTGAACTCAAGTTGTCAACCTGGCAGCAAAAGCCCTTAACCCAATGAGCTGTCTCACTAGACTATTATTGGAACCTGGAAATATTTTTAATTTCAAGAAAGAAAGAAACAGAGTTAAAAGGCTTTAAACTATCCATTTGAGGGTTAGCAATGTATAGAATATAGACATAGACTTTAAAAGGAGCTGGGTGTTGATTTTGCCTGTGACTCAATACTAAAGTAAGGTAGGCACAGAGCAGTCTAGGCTACAGAATGAGATCATCTCACTCTCCCCCTCATCTGCCTCCAAAGTACTCTGAAGTCAGTCTCAAAAGACAAATGCATTATGATTCTACACTTAAGAGATACGTAGAGTAGTCAAATTCACAGATACACAAACAACAGTGCTTGCAAGGGGCTAGGAGGCCAGACAGATGGAGAGTTACTCTTTAATGAGTATAGAGTTTCAGTTCTGGAAGGTGCAAAGATGTCTGGAAATGAACGGATAAATGGTAATGCTGTAAAATAATGTGAACATACTTAACGTCACTTAAAAATAGCTAATGCTAAATTTTGTTAAAGATTTATAACCATAATAAAAGAAGCACACCTGAACATAGGATTGTTGATTTCTCTGTTCATAATCATAGCTTCAAACATTGGCCCTTCACGCACAACAAATTCTATCATTCGGTGTATCAGAGCGAGCAAATTCCTACAACAACAACACAGTTAAAGAAAATGGATTCAGACATACCCCTATATAAAACTACACTTGACCTAAGTTACTATATTGGTGCAATTAAAAAAAAATCATTCTGCTGACTAACAGAATTTAATACAAAAAAGTAACCTGGAGCACACATTAAAGGCCTTGTGTATTAAGAGGGAATGGGGCAGTGAGGGTAGAGGAATGGGAAGGAAGGAGAGGTGAAGGAGTATGGGAAGTCACAAGACAGCCTTATAGTAATAGAATGAATTTCCTAAATACCACTTAATATTTTCAAAATTCAAAAAAATTAAATTATAAATCACAACTAATTGGATAGCTGAAATATATAAAATCAGCAAATTTGCATGTTGCAGCCATCTAAAAATGGACATACTACATTTTTTTAATAGAAAATAGTCCTAATACAGGCACTTCCCAATTAAATTAAGATGTTGTAACCATAACTTTAACTTAGAAAAATGCAAAACTACTTAACAAATTTAAGAACTGATTTAATAAAAGACCCACCCAAACTCCTGTGTTTCTAGTACACACATACCAGATGAAGTTTTTATTAAATCTGACTTTTAATGAGGCAACATCCCTTTGAAGCACACTGCAAAATTAGCTTAGAATTCCTAACGTGTAATTCTGTCTGCACAAAACCAACCAATGAAAAAATTATATTCTAAAGCCACGAGTCCTACACTTTACAAAATAAGGGACATGGTGAGGTGCCGTCTTTCTGAAATGTTTATTCCAAAAAGATATGAGCTACTGTTTATTAAGTCACTTTATTGGTTGCACTCACAGGAAGAATTTTATTTTTTAAATCTGAAAATAAAATCTTCAATAAAAGATTCTAATCTAATTTCAGACCGACTACTATGTCAGCAGAAACAACTCTGCTTACATATCCATAAGCTGCTCTTGACCTCCTTGTCACCAGTCCCTGAGTACAAAGTTGGCAAGTACACCTGGGAAGAGCAAATATTGGCTCTTGGTATAAGATACACGTAAATCACATTTGGGGCATTCTTGGCTCAATTAAGTCCATGTAAAACTGCTAGAATATAAATATTGTTATAGAACACAGATTTTTTTTTTGAGGGGCTCTATAATACTTTGCTTCAAGGTACCTGACAGTGAAATAATCTTTTATACTGACTATATTTTCTACAGTTTTCAAACAAGCCTACTCAAATGGACACCAATATTTTTACATAGTAGAAAAAAAAATTCTAAAGGTCAAAAAATTACATGGAGGTTTAAATCTTTACAAAGGGAAAATTATTCATTTAGAACTATCAATTCAACTTTAAACTGTTTTAAAAAAATCGTAATTTTTAACTTAAAAATTCTCCTTCACAAAAAGTATTAACTGCTGTGTAGATATGCAGTACTGCTCCCTACTGAGAAGGAACTCGGCACCCATGCAGTCTCTGGCACTGTTTAGAAAGGGGCCATGCAGATATTACTAGTTCTAAAATCCCACTGCTATAAGGCAAATTAAAACTCAGGGAAGTTTCAAGTGCAAATCATAATACATGACCAATTTACCATGTGGATAAACATTATAAACCCAGAGACGTCTATAAATGCAGTCAAAAACAACTTGACTTCAGCAGTTTAAGGAACATGAAAAATGGTTTATCAAGTTTAAAACCAAATGATTCATTCTAATGGTAAGTCAAGACTTTTCAGCAAAATATATACACAAAATTTGCTTAGAAATAAGCTGAGTTACATATAAAATTACTGGATATATTTTTGAATGCTAAAAAAATACTTTTCCTGTGAGCATTCTCACAGTGGAAAAATAACCCACTATAGTTTTAAACAGGCTTGTAACTGATAAAAATCTATTGTTATAAAATTACAAGTTTAAAGAAAATTAAAATATTTCATAACTATTTAAAATCAAAATCTGACAATTAGTTGTTGCTGTCTTAGAATCAAGAGTAAAACGTTGTAATCATACTCTTCCCTTAAGGATTATGTAATTTTCTTATTTGAAAAATGACTTTTTTAAAAAACCAAAACAAAACAGTGTAGTACAAAAACGTTATATTTTAAAGTGCATTATTTTATTTTTAAACAGTAATTATCTTATTCTGAGCAACCACACCAAAAAAAAAAAGCCTCTCAGTTATAATAAAACCACAGTTATTGGAGTCGATCGTACCAATGTCTGGTCAAAAACTGTATACTTTCCCAATCCATCCCATGATGTTTTCCTGGTCCCCCGCTGCCGCAGACAGTTCAGCTGGTGTTGCTCACCAAGGCCAATGTCAAAGAGAATTTGGAATTCTTTGTGTTCATTTATTATTCAACCAGTGTTGTGTTTCTGTGTTTGGGAAAAGGCTGAGCTTGACTGAGCAAGAGCATACCTACAGCATGATTGTTCTTCATTAGCAATGTATTAAAAAAAGAAAAAAGGGGAAGAAAAAGATCCAAACACCTTTGTTGTCATGACTAAAAAATCCTAATATGTCTAGTGCCCATAAAGACAATTGGAATTTCCTCTCAAATCAATTACAAAAATAAAATAAAAATACAACTGCACCTCCAATAACATTTAAAGCTAAGACTGTATATTAAATGCAGATAATCCAGAAACCATGAGAAAATAGGTTCAAATTGTAACAATATCTAAAATTTAAGACACATTTTATTTAAAATGCCTATTTTTCCCTTCACAATACTTTTAAATTACCAGACCAACAATTCCACATTAATCTACTTAAACATTCTAACTTCTAAAGCTATTTAACTCTCTAAAGTGATAACAATAAAAACAAAAGAAAAGATGACATAAAATTGCAAAGTGTACTAGACTCATTTAATTTTGACGCATCCCCCAAAAGCACTGGGAAGGAACCATTGCTCAGTCAAGATATTACCTTTTCCTCAACACCATTTCTTTTCAATTCAGAAGGGGATATTTTCTATATTTAGATCAGTAATAATAAAGAAAAACATGTACCTTTCTGTTGGGATAACCACTTTGACTATGGCTTGCGACAGAGTCTGTATATGAAGTCACATCAGATAATAAACATAGAATATGTGAGTATTGTTAACAAGTAACAAGCAAAAATATACATAATGCATTGAAAACACTACACATCTAATCACAAGTTCTGCAGGCTATCACTGCATCGGAAGTAATTATACACTATGCAATTACATAAATGCAAATGGATGTGTTCACGGTGAACAATTAATGTTCACCAAATGCAAAGAATCAGAACATTCCTGCCAGAATGCACATCAATGCACTGAATAGGTACTACACTGAGAATTATCAGATAAAGATTTTAATTTGTGAAATAATTAACTGTTTGCCTCTGACCATACAATTTTGCTACTTTGTTCCCAAGCCTTTAAAACCAGCCCTATGATTTCAAGTGTAATTAACTCGTAACAGAACCAACAAATCCTTACAACTTGAAATTAAGTTGGTTTTATGTTTAATAAAGAAAAATACTCACCCTTTGCTTTTACTAGATTAGTTAACTACTTCTGAAATAACATATACGCTGTTATATAGTCTACTACCTCAAAAGCTTGAAAGCTGAGTTAGCTTGATGCCATCTAAACAATTTAACTATTTAAGTGGTTTTTTTTCTAATTAAAAATAAAAACTAGCATGTTCTTAGAACAAAGAAAATTCAAACACTGAATTCAAGCAAACCTGAATACAACACTGGATTGGGGGGGCTTAATGAGTGGTCAAAAGGGAATGGTAGCCACAAATAAAAATATGACCTAATGATTCAATATAGGGTTTCCATGGACTAAGGCAGGGAACATATCTACTTATTTCTTTATGAGTTGCCAGAGTAACACACATAATTCTATAATATTGTTGAAAAGAAATACTACCACAGATTTAGTATTTACATATTAGATGTAGCTCTATGTACATTTTTAAAATTACCTTCTCGAAATCCTCCTTGTTTTTAGGTGGTGGTAACATGGGCGCATTGGGGTTTTTTAATCGCTCTCTAGGCTGCGCATTAAAAGGCAGACCGGATGGAGGTGGGGGAAGTGTGTGTTCCATCATAGAAGGCGGAATGTATATTGGATGTGGAGGAATAGGTACAGCTTTACCCCAACCTAACTTCATTTCAAAAGACATAATCATTTTCCCTACAAAAGAAAAAAGTTACTTTGACAAACCTCCAGGAAAAAAAAGCATTTCTGGTAACTTTAATTAAATTTCCTTAACAGGCTTTTGAATTTGATCTAAATTTGAAGTACAATTTTTATGAGTAATCTATACCAAAGAAATATCTAAATTCTATAGATGGACCACAGAACTTTACCATTTAAATTTTTTAGAGCTCTTTCAGCATCTCTTCTATTCATAAAAGCCACAAAGCCACAATTTCTTTCTCTTGCTCTTTCTTCATCAGTTCTAGGCCACATAATTTTTACACTAGCTAATGGTCCAAATCTTCCAAATTCTTGGCACAGCATTTCTTCATTCATCTATTAAAAGATGAGAGTGTCTGGTTATGCAACACAAAGAAAGGGAGGGGCAAAAATTCTATGCAGTTCAGAAAGCAAAATCATTTTCACAAAGTAAAAAAGCAACATATTACATTCAAATACTAGAAACTCAAAACAGGTGAAATTCTATCCTACCACAGCATCTGCATTGTTTTCATATTAGAAGTCTTCTATTTTATTTAAATAAGTAGCTAGGGTTTCGAGTCTTAGAGCTACTGAAACCAAAGTCATGTCTGAATTCTCTTCTTGTTTGAAGATCTTGGGATCTGCAAATCTGTTTGGCAGCAGTGGTATATCTATAAATTGAACAGCATTTCCAGCAAGAGTGTGGAGTGTACCTGTCAATGATGGAAGGAAAACCAGAGTGCACAGCTTTCCTGCCTCTAGTACCCATCTACCAGGGTGATCAAGAACAGAACCAGAAAACAGTACATACACAGCAGGGTTAAAAGTATTTTTTTTTTCAACAAAATATTTCATCTAACCCACCATATTCTCCAAAACATACTAATCAAACTGAAGCAGAGAAATTAAAACACTGAAGCCAGTGTGGTACCATATGCTGCAATCAGCAGAAGGGAGGTGGGAAACAGGAAGAGCCCACGCTCCAGTTAAGGCAGGAAAACAATGCAAAAAGGGAAAAGCACAAGGGGGAAAAGAAAACAAACTCTGTAAGAAAGCAAGCCATACATCTGAAAAGGTGCCTCAAAGAGCACAGTCTAGTTACTAAAAGGGAAGACACGTCTTCAAGAAAGTACAGGAAACAATTTGGATCTAACCAGTAAGTCCCAAGTTTACAAAACAATTATTAAATAATAATTCCATCAGCTTTGTCAGCTTCACAACCTAAATTTTACTTTCCTAACTGTCTAACAATAAAAATAAGCATAAGTCAACACTTGCTTTATTTTACTTATATTACCTGTGGATTAATGTTTCCAAGGTATAAATTAGTAGTACTTGGATCTCCTACATCATGTGAGCCAGGTGCATAATCATCAAGAACTAAAACAAGAGAAAAAAACAAATTATACCCTGTGAAATACAAAGCTGAAACAATTTCTATTAAGTAAAAAAGCAAAAAACTGTATTACCACCAGATGATCGATTTCTTCTTGAAGGCACATCCACTGAAAGAAAAAAAATAGAACTCTTAGTTTTTAAGATAATAAATCATAAATATGTACAATAAAATAAACATCACTTACTAGAACGCCGCTGACCATCAGAATCTGACTGAGGAGGCTCAAATCGACTTAACCTGCCCTTTGTTTTATGTCTCTCATCACGTTCTTCCTGAATTCTGTTGAAAATATTTATAGTCAACTTAGAGTAAGCCACATTCATATTTGGTAACAGTTTATCTAAGTAACATCTTCAAATAATTGAATGTATTTGCATTACCAGCAATTATAACCAAGACTAGTGAGCCCATCAAATTACAAGACAGGAACAAGTACATATCTAAAAGTCCACACTGAACAATAATGTCTCTTTTGGGGTAAAAAGAAAATTCAACATGAAACTACTGCTTACATTTTTGCTCTTAATAGATTTGATGACCTCTACCCTAGTGAATAACTACAATTCCAGATAAGAAATAAACCAATTGCATTAAATCTATACATTACAAGCAGCAATGGACA